AGGATGCGCCATATACCGCGTGGAAGGTGCATCATATAACACGCAGAAAGGAACAGGCTGTCACTAGGCGGTATCCTATTATCGTTGCCACGGTGTAAAGTCGAGAGAATACGGTATTTATGCCGATGCGCAAACAATGGCCGCTCGATCTTCGAGAAGGCAAGGCCACGCGACAAGAAGTTCAGGCCGCGGGCCGCTTTATACGACGGGAATGTTAATTATCGGGTCTCCCGCGGGATCTATTAAGTGCACTGTTCCACAGCTCCCTCGGTTCCCCGCTGTCTTTTCACTACGCTTGCAAACGCTTCCCTCTTTCGTTCACTCTGCCCGAGTATCGAGTATAGTTACCTGAAAATCATCATCACGAGAGTCACGTCCACGGCAGCGTATGAAACTGTGAAGTTGTAAAAGTTCAAGAAACAAACTATGAAAGCAGACTGGCTGTGAGTCGGAATCTCACCTTTCAACTACGGAGGAAAGAATTTCATCAGCAACATTAGAATTCGAGCAATGTCATCTTTACCATTTTCACAGTTTCCTTGAAAGCGTCATCAAATTTACTTGAAGCCTAACAAGTTCTTCCCTCCCCCTCTCAATTACATTAACCACCTAGTTAACCATCCAAATCAAGAAACCAACAAAAACTCCTCGTGTTCGTACTCTTCGATTAATGATCCTACCTTAACGCTTTATTTCGCAATCTGGCCATACCGTTTCCACCAAGCGAGTACACATTCAGCCGTGTGTTATCGTTGCAGCGATTCCTTAATTTATCAAACAGTCGTGCCGCGACTTGTCGACCGTTCTACCAGTTTTCTAACACCGTGCAAACACGTCTGCCGAACGCGAAAAATAACTGTCGGCGATTGAAAGACAAAGGAGCCACGACGACGATGGAAATCAATGCGAATTTCTTCTCAGACTGCCATTTAGGTGTCCGAGGGTACACCAGCTGCATACGTTTAATAATGGGCTTACGTAACAAGCGAGAGAAATTCATGGTGGCACCCGGGTATCGCGGATAATTGATTGTCCGTTCGGTTGATATAACTGTTGCTGATATTCGAGGTTCCAAGTGTTAAACGGCGTGTATACGTAATGCATTCAGCGAGAGGTGATAACAAGTATCTTGTTAGATCGAGAATTGCACGCATCAAGATTTAGATAAGGGGGATGAATTATCGCGATTCATTTTGACACAGCTTCTGAAAGATATATAACGTTCACGATTTGACACTGATGAGAATAGAATTGGAGAAGCATTGATCGTTTCTACGACATATCCCTTTCGTTCCTAGTTCTCTATCAAATGGAATTAGAAGTCGGAATTTCTAACGTGCGAATTAGAAAACTGGAAACAGGGATTACCACGATAAAGTAAACGTAGTAGACGTGTGCGAGTTATTCTATATATCTAATAGCTGTAACGTTGAGATTTACTAAAGCTCACAGAATGACACGTGCGTTTCGCAAGCGTAAAAAATTCTAATTGTAAAATTACAGTATCGTTGCTGAAATTTCAGGAACAGTTCTTCCGTTGAACGATGGACGTTTGAACGCAACTACGAATACGTTGAGCATTTAATCATTGAGCGTGTTGGAATATTCGCTAAAACGTCATTAAACGAGACAGTCGTGACTGAGCGCTAACTAGATACACGCCATAATTAGCGAAACATCGATAGAAAATAAAAGCACGAAATAGAAATACGAGCACGTCGCATTAGAGAACTGCACTTCCCAGCTGTCGTGTCACTTTATACATTGATCCATCGTTCGCCAAACAGGATTCTTCTCTCTTTCTCTCTTCGCCACGTCTTCTTCTTGCTTCTCCCGTTCCTTTTTCTTTTTTTTTTCACTCGCACTAACTACTAGATCTGATGTTTCTGCTTCGTTTACAGCGATTAATCATTATCAACCATTGATAGATTCTATTTTTATCTTTAATTAATTACGTACTTCCACATACTTTCTCTATTCTATTATTTTTATTTTAATTAACGGAAATTAGAATTAGCGGAAAGAAGTCAAAGTGATCGATAATTCTACTCATTTGAATTCTCAGCAATCAATTAACAACTCGCTTACTTTATTACATTTTCCCTATTTCTTGCAATTTAATTTCTCCAAAAACGAGTGTCTAGTTCTTTCAATTAAGTTTAATTGCTCGATTGCCCTGGGGATGAAATATTTTTACTTGTCTCATCCTGATTTCGTTCTCTTTAAAAATTTGTTTGCACCGTCACACGTGCACAGGCGGGACGCACGTGTGCAAATTTTACGCGCTGAGATTTGTACACATGAGTTCCTTGGCCGAGGTAGATAATATTTCGAAACAGTGTCGGGTGTCTCGATCGATTTTACTCTTTCGCCAGTGTGGGTCTTTCAAGTTCGAAACGATGGATCGAACCGATCGTCGGTTTCAGCTGCTCAACGAAGATGGATCGATGAACTCGGTAGTTGCGAAGACGCGAGACAAGTATCCTGAAAGTTTTGGATCAAAATATCGATCAAACCCTGTTGATAAGCTGTTTTTAATACAAACAACGCAACGAATTCTATTGCAAATATTCTCCGTCCGTCGTAAATCAATCAAACCTCTAAAACCATATCACATTTTGTCTCCTCATTTTTTTTTTTTTTTTTTT